AAAGAAATTATGTATTATTAAATATAGAAAATTTAACGATTCCTAAAATTTCTATGATGATATTAATTTCTAAATAAATTATAATCTCTATTATATTCAAATTTGTTTAATGATTTTTAAAATTTATTTTAATAACAATAATTGATTAAAGATAATTTTTATAAAATCGCATACAAATACATTAACAGATTGGAAATGTATGTATTTTTAAGCCACATATAATTGCTATTAATTAATTTTCATTCTATTTCATTATTTTTGGCTAGCTATCTTAATAAATGAGATAATATTCCTCTATTTAATGATTTTTAAAGAGTCTTTATAATAAATTGAAATCGATGATATTTTGAAAAAGGAAGAGATGACATTTGAAAATCTTTTACAAACATTTACAAAAATATAAAAAAAAAATAGTTTTTTTACACTTCCCTACTATGGAGAAGTACGTTCCCACCGAAAACTCGATATGCAAAATTTGTTGCCATCACATAACCTACCTATTGTTTACACAATACGGTCGGTAAAAAATAAACTGAGAGTAAGATAAGAATTTTTTACATATTGTGCAGTTATTTGTTATGGTAAGCATTTGAAACTTTTGTTATTATAAATTGCATTGCAAGGGTAACATTGCATGTAGTATAGTATATAGTATTGCGACGTAGCAATCAAAATTCTCTCAGGTTTCTATATTATTTTCTATTATTGCATATTAATTGTAGCATCACTCAATTATAATAAAACTATTTATTAATTTATTAATTTAATCCAAGAACATATCAATCTGGAGTAAGATGGTAAAATGAGATTTAAAAATATTTAATTTTTTTTCTCTCTACATTCTTTTATGTTTTTTGTACGGGAGATGGGGTGGGGGAGATCATGAACCAACAAATAATTAGAACTTTTTCGTAATTTATTATTACACTTTAATTTTATTATATATCAAGTTTATTTTATATTTTCATTATTTAATTTTAATTTCTTCGTGCACTTAAAGCTGTTATAATGAAATTTTATGTTCAAAAGCGCTAGCTAAATAATTCTCTATTAATTTTTTTTTTTTTATTTTAAATATTACTTAGAAATTTTATATTTAAATTTGCACAAAGTTTTCTTAAACTTATTCCAGGATTTGAAATTTGAAAATTTTTAATCAAAATTATTTTATAATTCACAACGTTTACGGTAAAATTTAATATTCTTCTTTAATTAACAATGATTAAAATTTTTAAATATACAAAAATATGTTGAAATTTTCAAATATTAAAAAACTTCTCCAATTATATTTTTTAAAAATTAGCCAAAAAAAAAGGTTTCACGAATTTAATTTTGCAAATTTCGATCATCTAACTCTATGAAAGTTCACGGGATTACTAACATATTAATTATGAAAATTATATCACAAAATCTCTGAAATATTTTTTTGGCATCAATCTACATACTATTTAAATTAATTAGGGAGCATATACATACACACATTCGTTACAAATTATACTTAATTTTATTAAATTATTTGAATTAAGTTTAATTAAAAAATACGAATTCTACATATAGGCTAGATTATAAGGTTAGCATTTCATTTTACTCTATTAGGAGTTTTTTGTGTGACTTCTAGCGAATTTTCTAATCAATTTAAAAAGTTGTTAGGTAAAAAATTTTGCAAAATTAATAAAAATTTTTTTTTTTTATTTTCAAATTTATTCAATGAATTTTTTTAACAAAACTTTTATATACATGAATGACACTGGCATAGTCACAACATTCACATAATATGCAGGATTCTGTGCATATTGAATGCAAGCAATAGAATTGCAAATATCTAAAATTTGTGATATTGTATAAATTTTTAATTTAAACTTTCATTCTGATATAAACTTATTTTACCGGTATATGAGCAGTTATTGGCTAAAACATAATATATTCATTTTCAAAAGTACACATTTCCTGACAAAAAAGATGAAAATTGCAATAACTAAGAATAAGCTTAGATTTTAGCTAAAATTTATGAGTTCCACAAGAAAACTAGACAGAATTTTCTTTTCAATACAGAATCATTTCAATAATATTAAAAAATATTTCAACTTGATTAGGCTTAAATTCAAAATTAAGAAAATGAAAGAGTTATCATTATTAAAAATGTGTTATCACTTAGGCACGGCACTGATACCACATTTTAACATAATATCCTTGTTCTCTTTCACATCTTAGGTCGGGTCAATATTATTCTGCAGCACGACGCTATTGTTTCCGTTTGCCATTAAAAATTTAATATTGTTCCAATAACGACTAGAATTTTCAGTTTGGTGATATTAATATGAAAGATAAAGCTGGGCACTATTTAACATTCCAAATTGATAATATAATTTTATTCAATTTACACAACACAACTTTTTGCAACACAAACAAATAAATTTGAAGGCAGTCTGCAAAATATTTCAAAACTAGTTAAATTTACAATCATAGGTACAATATAAAACGCAGTTATTCTAATTATAGGATGTCATCATTAACTACATTGTTATATACATATACGAACGTGTTATATTATATTCTAATCTCATTAACATTGATTCTATTCATTCAAAATATAACAAAAGAATTAATATTGTCATTTTGCTTCATCATTACAATTAATAATCAGACTATTTGTTTAGGCAAGTAAATGCACTAATTTGTATTTTAAAATAAAAAAAAAATACATAATTTCCATTTTACAACAATTTTGTAATTTTTATAATAGAATGCCATTTTTACAATTTGTTATACATACATATATATAAAGTTGATTAGATAAGTTGCTATTTAAATTAAAAGGAAAATATTATTAAAATATTAAATGAATTATGCAATCATATATTATTTGTTAAACATTCCGGAAATTTGAAAATGAAATTTTATAAAAAAGATATGCAAGCAGATACACACAAATTATAATATTTAACGAACTTTAAAAATAAACGATCTAAAAAAGCAATTGAAACATTGGTTTTTGTACATGCGCAAATAAGCAAATATCGTGGCAGAATTCAGAATAAATTTTAAAATGCTTATTATTTTAGAAAATTAGGAAAATATTAGGATAACTTACTAGTTAATGGAAATATTAGGAAAATTTACTAGTTGATGTTTTAGGAAAATTTAAAAAAAAAATCTTAAAATTACCCTCAATCTAAAATTTTCTAGAAGTAAATCATCTTAGAACAAAAATTTATGGACTATGCTCAATCTACGACAAAAATATGAGTTTATGTTGAGATGAGATCCACTTATAAATTTCGTGTTTCTTTTAAAAACAATTAATTTTATTTACTCTTACCACATTTCCGAGATATTGAAATCATTGAAATAGCATAGTGCAGGTTGAAACAAACAAAGAGAACAAGATCTGCAGAAACAACGTATCAGCAATAATGCACGATTCTAGAGAAAGCTATATATAAAAACATTCAGCTTGTTATACTAATCCACATACATTGAGAAATAAATTGGGCATCCTTTGTACAAAAAAAAATGCTTCTCATTGAATTTTAATGGTTAACCAACCGAAACGAATTTTTTTTTTGTGATTCATTTTATTAAATTAAATACGTCAAAAACAAAAAATTTTGTGGCTAAAACTAATGAAATATTTTTTTCTTATGACAATATTTGAGTATAGACATAGATTTCTTTCCTATATTTTTAGCGGATAGTTGAGTTTAACACTTAAGCTGCTACTTCGCTTTATAAAAGTGATATGTGGACGGAAACACTTTTTTCAGTTTAAAAGCAGCAAAATATAAGTCATCCACACCTTCAAGTTTTGGTTGAAAGAGGTCGAAGAAGAAAAAATTCCTAAGCAGGTATGTAAAAGAAATAGAATTGACCATCGATTTATATAAATTAACTAATTACATTTTCATTATTATTATGATCAAATCGAACGTAGGCACAAAGATTTGGTATTTTTGAAGAACTTTCACTCTAAACTAAATTGAATAACTCCTTATAATTAAAATCGATGACGTTTTTTATAGCTACATCTGTTTTTTAAGCTCGAATTTCTAAAAATAATTAATAATTTTTTTTTTTTAATTTTAATTTTATTAACTGCTAATTTGATCAATTAAAGACTAAACTATTCGCTTAGCTGGTTATCATGAAAATTTTTTTATATAAATAATTTTTCTTTTTACTCCAATTATAATAATTGGAAAAATTTCAGAAAATCTAGTTGATTAATTTGTATCTTAAATGTTAATAGTGACTTTAACGTATGGTTTTGTTATTGAAATGTTGAAAATTAATATGGAAATTGAGAAAAATCTCTATTATTCCCTAATGTGTCAAATTATTCTGTAAAAAATTTGAAGAAAAGCAATTAATGCCTTTTTGAGTTAAGAATACTTCTCTTTGTATTGTATCGTGAATTCAGTTTTTCAATTTCACATCCAAGCTATAACTATGTCATAGTTAAAGCAATCAAAATTTTCAATTTTTTTTTTTGAAAACCTTTGATTAATTTTAATTTGCTTGCGTGACGTTGCACTAAACAAATATTTTTTTGAAGAGCGACAAAACGACAGAGCTTCATAAATTTTAATAATTTTCTGCTCTACTGGACCATTATAGAAAAAGAGAAAAAAAGTTTCTAATTCCCATACTAATCATAACTTGGCATCCAAATGTCCAATCAGAATGATGCATTAAATTTTTAAAGTTGAATGATCTTTACGTATATATATAATCTACACACATAATTGGACATGAAAATTCCTTAAGAATTAAATTAATTAATAATTACCCTAATATTAACTAAATTAAAGTAAATATCTTGAAGTTGAGTTTCATCGGAAATTTGGCAAAATATGATTAATTTTTTGCACTAATAATCCCAACTCCACAGCTTAACTCTTTCATTAATAATTTGTAATATCCGATTCTATTAAATTTTTGGAAGCTAAAGCATTCTAATTACAATTATTTGAATATAATATATACAACAGCTGTATACTCACGAATAATTTATTTCTTGAAGATAATTCTCATAAAGCGGTTTCCTCTATCTGGAATTGTATGGTTTTGCCAATAAAATGTATTCCGTCACATCTGCTATTCCGTTTCAAACGCGATATCTAACTATATTAGAAAAATCTAATAAAATTATGTATTGTGTCTTCATTAGTTCAACTTAGAATAAATTAGACGCCTAAAAACAAATTAACTTTTCATTTAAAATTTTTTATCTATGTATGTATTTATTTTTTTATGAAGTTTCATAATGCCTTGGACACATCTCTTTTCCTTTCTTTTGTTTTTCTTTTCAGTTTTTGCCTACTAAGTTAAATAAATGAAATCATAAATTAAATTTTATTATCCGGTAAAGGAAAAACTGATTAAATGCGAGTATAAATATTTAAGGTAAAAAATATGTGAAAGCAAAAAATTAAAAGTTTGTACACATAGTCTGAAAACTACATTTGAAATACATTTATAAATAAGTTTATGCCTATATGGTAAATTTATATGTGGTGTGTACATGTGTCCAATCGTAATTATAAATATTTATATAAGCAATTTCTGGAATAATTTTATACAATTGTTTTATTAAATTGTACTCGAAAATCGCCTCATTCGAAAATTTCCCCACTAGTGTTTCAAATACGAATAATGCATCTAAAAAAGTATTTTAAAGGAATTGAAAAGTTTGTCAAAAATTTAAGAAATTATTTTGAGTTTTGTTTGCTCTATTGAGAGCAAAGCATGAAAAAATCATTAAATTTTAATAACAAAAAATGCCAATAGTTTTTTCTTCTTTTAATATTGTAATTTAGGACGCCAAATTTTACAATATCAAAAGAATAATAAGACAAAAATTAATAGCAATTGACTTAACACTCTATGAATAGGAAGTAATAACAAATTTCTAGGAATCTAACTGCTTTAAATCATATCACGCCTATTAATAGAACGCAACAAAATTTTTTCCAGATTTAAGACATGATACTGAAAGAGAGAATATCCACAACAATGTTATTGTAAATTAAAGTCTGGTATAGAAGTAATTCTATCCTAAATTGTGTGCGGCCATGAGTAAATTTTAAGAGAGGAAATTTATTTCAAATTTCAAAATTTTTGGTAGAGAATTTTAAGAGTATCCTTTAGTAAAGAGCTTAAAACTAAAACCAAGATGCTTAAAATTAAGATGTGATAAATGAAAAGAAGTTGACAATTTTATCTAATTTAATAATTTACATATGCTGAGATTTTTGTTTTTTTTTCCTTAAATATGCCATAAATATTGGGTCAAAGTCAGTAGAGAAAAAATATGAAACCAGAAAAAATTTTTTTTTTTTTTAAGATGAAAATATTTAAATAACCTTTTATTCAACGCTCGTCAAGATAAAAAAATTCTTTTAATCAAAATATAGAACTTTATAAAATTCTTACAAATTCTTATAGAAGAAATTTTAAAATTTAAAAAATTTTAAGAATTTTATGCTGCTAAGTATTACAGTGGTAGTCAAAATGATTGAAATTTTTTTTTATTGAAAAAAATGGTATTTAATGTGGATACACGAAAAGTAAATATTTGTAACCTTTCTTGTCTGGATTTTAAATTCTGGTTATAAATCTAAAAATTCATTGACGTCGCAACAGCTCTCATTTCGTTGAAAAAACAGAAATTAATCTAGTTTGTTTTCTGACATTAATTCTTAAAAAATAATTTATGAGCCCTTCACATAAAATATTTAAGATAAATTAGGGCATCTTTTTAAAAAACCAAACAGAAGTATAAAAATTTTATTTGCAAATAAACATAAAAGCTATACTAACTTAAAAAAAGGAATTAGTTTATATATTAAGCTAATCACACACATACGAATACAAATTGATACGAATTTGGTATAGAGAGGAGCCTTGATAAGAGAGAAATGTATATATTATTGAAATTATTTCCTGTGTCTCTTAAATTTCTCAACAATATTAGTTTCTCTTTGAGAAAAATTTATTTATAATTCGTGTTATATGACACCTTACGGGTAATATAACGTGAAATATTAAATATATGTAATATGTATATATTTTTAAGGAAGAAATAAATTAATTCCTTTGATTTCTATTAGCCCAAATGAAGAGAGAGAAGAAAATAATGATTTTTAAAAGTTGAAAAGAATTGAATTTTGGGAGACTTTGAATGAAGCGTTAAAAACTATAGGTACATTGAAAAATTTAAAGTTTTTTTTTAATTTTAGTTCATTCAATAAAATTTTATAAAAATATTATAGTGTTTTTCCGTCTAATTTTTTACAAAACTGTATTAGAAAAACTTGAAATTCTCAAAAACCAAAAAAAAAATTAATCTGAATTAAATTAAATATTCAAATTAAAGATATATATATATACATATGTACTTTTCCCTCAATTATAAATTGTATAAAATGTTTTTTTTACAATTAAACAAATTAATAGAAAAAGAACTCAGAGCAAGAGCAAAGGAACATCCAAAATATTAATAGCGATTTGGAATATTACAAATAAATGTGATCATACCCAAATTGGAACAAAATATTTTTGTACTCAAAAATCAAAACATCTTAAAATATAAAAATCTTATTTCTGACAATATAATTTTTACGATTTGAAACTAATTCACTTTAGGCATTTTGCCCATTTTACAAAATTATTATGTAGTACAGAAATTGCAAGGAGGACAATGAGTAAACGGATAGTATGTGTTAGTATTAAAAAAATATTGCTTGTTATTTTATTAGAAAGTCGGGTGAACCAAAAGCATTTCAATTTGAAATAAGGCTTTGCTTTGTGCCTACAGATTTGTAGTACAAATTCTTTTTGTATTTAAGTCTCATACATACTATGACTCAAGTGTCAAAGGAATATTGATTAAAAAATATTAGTAAAATCAATTTTATTTTAAGATCCAGTTAAATCTAGATTTTCACTTTAAGTAAAAAAAATTGAAACGTCATTTACTAATAAGAATTCCAAAATTTTTATGATTATCTTAAAATCAAATTCTTTAAATTTTCAGTCTAATTCATACAGTTGACACTTTTTTTAAAAATGCACGTAATATCGAAAATTCTCAAGAGTTGTGCAATAAAAAGATTATTCTCGCCGATTCCCGATTATTGATTTTTTTTTAAGATTTTAATTTCCTTTTGATTTAAAATTGTCATTCGCTGTCATAAAATGTCATTTAAAAAAAAAATAAGGTGTCATAATTCTAATAAATATGCTTATAAAAATGTAAAATTTGATTTAATTTATTGCTAGCACTTGAAAACGCTTGCCATAAAATAAGATTTATACACTGGGCATTCCATTGTTAGGGTTTTATAATTGGTTGATTGGTAATACCTAATTCCCAAAGTGATTTTTAATTTTTATCTTATTTTTTTCTTTTTCTTATAGAAAGTTTTACCCGATTTTCTATGAATTAAATTAAAATTTTATTGTTTTATTGATGACGATAAGCTCTTTTATTTTTACAAATTAGCACTTGTTGTTATTGTTTTAAAAGTTATGCTGTAAAATCAATGTATGTAAGGTTTTGGTATTTGATAAAAAGAATATTGATTAAAAACAGTATTGCCAAATGATATTTTCAACGTTTTAATAAAAAATTTACAACATTATAATAGTTTATGGATGGTTGAGTAGTTGGTATAAGGCTAATCCCGTTATCTGCGATTTGAATTTTATGCGATCTGTTTATGAGTCTTAAAATGACTAATTTTATCGTAAAAAATTTAATCAACATAAATTAATCTTATATTAGATCCAATTAGAACGAACTATTTTAAGCCTTTATTGTAAGTAAAGCATACGTTATGTATATAGAAAAAAATTTTTGAAGAAGTATGAACCGCTAATAATTCATTACTAGAATAACGTAAGATATAAATAACGTAATTGAATATCTCTTTTTAAAAAAAATTATGTTGCTGAAAATTAAAATTTTTACATTGGGTTTTCTAATTATCGAAAGACAATAAAAACAAGGATTTCTTTCTCTTCAAATATGATCGTCTTCAATGAATGACCACAATTTGTTTTCACTATTTTGTTATAAATTATTGACCTTCACACAATTTCTCAATCACTAAACTATTAGATTTAATAGCGCTGCATTTTGAAAAATTCTTAAAACGACACTTAAGACTGATTTAAATTAGGCTTGATCACAGTGACATCAGCTGGCATTTTATTCAAATTTGTTAAAAATTCGAGGAAATTATTTACCAAAAGCAATAAATATTGTATATACAAAATATCTATTTGAATAGGTTAAAATCTAAAAAAACATAAAAATTTACAAAAATTTTAATATGTCAAGCAAATTTTGAGAAATTTCCGAAAAAGCTGGAAAATTCCACCGAAATCTAGAAAAAGAAATTTGAAAAAAGAAAAAGAAAACATGATTTAGTAATAACAAATCAAATTTTTTCTCAGCTTTCTATAACCGTCAAACTTAATATTAAAGTAAGATTATTTTGGAAATCTTCAAATTGCACTTTATTTGGTCAAACGTTTTCCCTATTCTTCTAAATCATAAAAATATTAGATATTTTTTTCTTTTTAAATTTAAAATAGTATTACTGATATTATTTACAACAATAAATTGGTTGATTACCGCACGATGATTGGTAATACCGGTTTTTCTATGAATTTTTATGAATTTCAATATTTTAATGACAACATTTTAGTACCCAATATTACATTTTATTACAAAACTATCCTGAAAAGGTAACCATTTCTTTAAAATTTCGAAACGTTTACTTGACTTTACGTTAAATTTTGTAAAAGCTTCAATTTATTTTGCAAAAGTCTTCAAAAGTAAGGCTGAATATAATTGTAAAATTCAATTACAATTAATTAATTTGTTATTTTAACCTTGAATATTGATTTTATAACAATTCTGCAATAATATTGAATAATTATTTGCTAATAACATAATTATTTCATGTAGATACACGGAATGTGACAAGAATTAATTAACCTATTTAAAGTTTCAATAACCAAAAATAGACATTGAAAGAGCATGGAAATCACATGTAATAAAAATGTGGGCTTGGAAATTACGTTCAACCCTATAATAATATGTATGTATGCTTATTATATAATATCGGAAAACTATATGCAAAAAGGTG